CACAGATGGAACATTCTCTATGATATACCATATGCTGGACACAAAACAAATCTCAAACTCTGAAATCAGTCGAAATACGTTATCTGATCACAGAGGTCCACAACAAAAGAGATACGGAAACACCCTCAAATATTGGTAAACTTAACACCACACTTCATAAAAAATCCATGGGTCAAGGAAGTCACACCAAATGTTTTTTAAATGTATTTGGATTAAATTTAAAAAACAGCATATCAAAATTTATAAAATGCAGTTAAAGCTGTGCTTAGAGGGAAATTTATAACTTTAAGGACTTAGAAGAGAAGGTCTCAAGTCAATAATCTTAGCTCCCACCATTGGAAAATGGGGTGGGGGGTCAGGAAAAGCATACTAAGCCCAAAGCATACAGAAAAAAGAAAATAATAATGTTAGGGTAGAAACCAGTGAAACAGAATAGAAAAATGGGAGGGGGAAATCAATGAAATAGAAGATATCTCTTTGATAAGATCAACAAAGTTAACAAACTCTTAGCTACATTCACCAAGAAAATAAAAGAGACAAATCACCAGAATAAAGGCTAAAAGAGGAACCATCATTATCTTTTCTATGTTTAGATACAATTATTTAACATTGTGCAACAACTGCCTATAGTAACATGCAGTAGAGGTGTGTAGCCTAGGAGCAATAGGCTATACAATAACCTAGGTGGGTAGCAGGCTATACAATCTAGGATTATTTAAGTACACTTTATGATGTTTGCCCAATGACCAAATCACCTAATGATACACTTCTCAGAACGTATTCCCATTGTTAAGCAGCACATGACTGTAATTCTTCCATGAACATACACACAAATTCCTCAACAAAATTTAGAAAAACCAAACTTAGTAACATATAAAAAGGACTACACAGCATGATTCAGTGAAATTTATCCCAGGAATAAAAGGTTGGCTTAACCTCTGAAAACCAGTTAATGTAATACACCATATCAACAGAATAAAGGATAAAAATCACATAATCATTTCATGGGATACAGGAAAAAATCTGACAAAATTCAACAATCATTCATGACTAAAAACTCTCAACGAACTAGGAACAGATGGAACTTCCTCAAACCTCCTAAAAGGCACCTACAGAAAACCTGCAGCTAACATCATACATCGTGAAAATCTGCATACTTTCCCCTCTAAGACCAGGAGGGATGCAACACGTTCTCAACACATCTATTCAACATCTTAGTAGAGGATCTAGCCCATACTATAAGGCAAAGTGAATGACAAGGTGTATTAACATTCAGATTGGAAAGAAAGAAAACAGAATTGTTTTATTCATAAACATGGTCATTTATTCAGAAAAAATATACAAAAACTGATTCATTCTATATACTAGCAATGAACAATCTTAAATTCAAATTATAAGAACTCCATTCCCAATAGCATCAAAAATTATCAAATTCTTAGGAATATATTCAATAAAAGTGTTAAGATTTAAGCCCTGGCTGGCGTAGCTCAGTGGATTGAGTGCGGGCCTGCGAACCAGAGTATCGTGGTTCAATTCCCAGTCAGGGCACATGCCTGGGTTGCAGGCCAGTTCCCAGCAGGAGATTCACGAGAGGCAACCATACACTGATGTTTCTCTCCCACTCTTTCTCCTTCCCTTCCCCTCTCTCTATAAATAAATAAATAAATAAACAAACAAACAAACTTTTTTTAAAAAGTGTTAAGATTTATATATTGAAAACTAAAACATATTGTTGAGAGAAATTAAACATCTAAATAATGGAGAGAACATTACATATTCATAGGTTGGAAGACTCAAGTTAGCAATTCTTCCCACACTTTGATATGATTCAATGCAAATCATATCAAATCCCTGCAAATGATTTTTTCTTTTTGTAGAAATTGACAAGCTGATCTAAAATTTTATATGTAAATCAAAAGGATCCAGAATCACTTTTGAAAAGTTGGGAGGATTTACACTACCCATTTGAAACTTACTATAACACACAGTAATCAAAACAGTGTGGTATTGGAGTAAAGGTAGGATTTAATATATGGATGGAACAAAACAGATTCCAGAAATAAATGCTTACATTATAGGCAACAAATATTTTACAAATGTACCAATACAATTCAAGGGAAAAGAACCTTTTTAACAAATGGCACTAGGACAACTTATCATCTACTTGACATAAAAAACAAAAAGAACTTAGACCTTATCTTACACCATACACAGCAGTTAATTCAACATGGATCCGAGATCTAATAAAAAAGCTAAAAGAAAATGCAGAAGAAAATCTTTGTGACTTTGAATTAAGTAAAAAGTTCTTAAACAGAACACCAAAAGCATAAGGCATAAAAAATAATAATAATAAATAAACTTCATTAAAACAGTCTGCACTTCAAAAATACCAGTAAAAATAAGAAAACAAGCCACAGACTCGGTGAAAAATTTTTGTAAATATCTGTCTAATAAAACACTTTTATCCAGAATATATAAATGCAATAGTAAGATCAAAAAAAAAAAAACAACTAAAAAATGGGCAAAAGACTTGGGTCGACATTCCACCAGAAAAGACTCATAAATGACTAATAGGCACATGTAAAGCTCAACATCATTTGTGTTTATGAAAACACAAATTAAAATCCCAATGAGATACTACTAAAATGGCTATAATCAAAAAGACAGATGACACCAAGTGTTGGTGAAGATATAGGGAAACTGGAATCCTTGCACTTATCTGGTAGGAATGTAAATGGCAGTCACTTTCAAAAACATTTTGGCAGTTTCTTAAAACGTTAAGAACAATTCTGAACTGTTTTTAGTCACAACACTTCTAACACCAAATGTGTGGGGTTTTTTCCCAATCAATTCTCCAATACTCTAGACACCAAATGGGTGTCCCCAAACTTAATTTACACTAACACGCAGAATTACTGCAAACACTACAGGTTAAGGGCTTAGTTGCTCTTATTCCTGACACCAGTTACAAGCCTTGGTACCTGGCATAGTCCTGACATGTAAGTGGCACTAAAATAATGACTAAACCAACAACTAAGAAAAATAAAATTTGTTTTAAATTTGAAGCATACAATTCTGAATGGAACCTTCAGGAATTCATTTATTTAAGTGAGAAAATAGGACAAGAAAGGTTAAGTGACTTAATCAAGCCTTGGTCTCCTGAATCACAATTCTCTTCCCACAAAATCATGATGCCTATCAATTCATGCTTATTGATATAAGCTTCCTTTTTTCTTTTAAACATTTTGCATTTTTAATTTTTTATTGTTCTATTACAGTTGTCCCAATTTTCCCCCACCATTGCTCTCCCTACCCACCTCCCTGCTCCCACAATCAATCCCCACCCTGTTGTCCATGTCCGTGGGTCATTTATACTTGTTCTTTCCGTGAACTTCCAAAAGTAATATAAAACTGTCCTTTAAGAAGACCATTTCAACTTTATCCACCCTAGCTCTGTCTGGCTATATCAGTTTTGGACAACTAGTATTAATTATTACTTAAGAGCTTTTCTATTCAGAACAGACTAATCTTTAATTGAACCAGTCGTTTGACATGTCCTTCACACACTATAATTTTCACATATATTTATCATGCACCTGTATGCAATAAACAATGTGCCTGTTATAATCACATTCCAAAAAAATTACATTGTATGTCCTTTAACATACCCCAAGTGCCTGCCTTAACAAAATGTGGTTCAGTTGAGAAAGACTAAATGTGAATACAAGAGAGTGACACTGCAGCTTCATCAGGGAAATCCCTATAGTCCCGAGCTAATGTTTTCAGCGGTTGCTATGTTGTGGTGCAATTGTGTTACTGGGCAACAAAGAACTCAGAAGCTAGCTCAGCAAACTCACTAAGAAACTAGAGAATCAAACCTTTATAAAAGTACTCTGAGACTCAACTTTTTAATTCCTTTAACTGAAGGAACTCTTTGTTACAAGTATCAGATACAGGATTTACACTGAGACTATAAAAAGTACATAGAATTTACTTTTAAGACATAATTTGAAGGTGATAGGCACCTTCCAAAAAGGAATGGCTAGGTGTCGGTTCCTCCTAATTCTATAAATTTTAATCCAAAAGGAATCTGAAGTTACAATATATAAAAAGCAAGTAACTGGGCACTTCTTAATGTTTTTTTTCTTCCTGGATTATATATCTCAGCCAAACTGAAAAAGTAATAAGTCTCAGCCAAACTGGACTACGATCTGTGATTTCTCCACAACCTAGAGAGGAGTCCTGATGGAAAAATATAAAAAACTTAAGACAACTGCTTATTTATGAGGATAAATGAAAGTCTTGACATAATTTCATAAAGTAAGTCTTGACCAGGTAAAGAGTAAAATGGAAAGAAGTAAAATGGGAAAAAGAGATAGAAGAAGGGGAGGAGGGAGAGAGGGAGAGGAAAGGGATGGGAGGTGGGGGGAAAGTATTTTTAAATACTGGGATTCTACTGAGATTCTCGGAGTAGAATAGAATAAAATATGGAAGATTCTACTGAGGAACCAGGAAATTGACCACTGGGAGTAGTGGCAGGCTTCCCCAAGGGAGCCCTTACTAATGATATTGTCATGGGAAATTCTCAAATATTTATACTTTCTAGGAACAGAACCTTTTCCCTCTGATTCCAATGAATCCCCACTCTTTAATCCCCTTTCTTATAGTTTACAGTTGCCCTTCTTCCCCCGGTAACTCTAAAATATTTTCTTTTACTTTCCCTATACAGGGTGGGACAGGGAGGTAGGTAGTGAGAATATAAATGCACATTTCTCATCTCTAAGAAACATATTCAACAACTTCTGTTTGGAAGATACTAAGAATACAGTGCTTTGAGAGCTGATGTCCTGCCCTTAAGGAGCTTCCAATCTAGTTAGGAATGGAACAAATACATAGAAATTATTTTTTAAAATACAATATAAAGTACAAGTATCAAGTAAGTATGACTGACAAATACATATTACAGGATTTTAAAGGCAAAGGAGTTCAGAGCATGTCACCCCTAAATATGCCACTTCTGTATGCTGATTACTGTGAGTTAAAAGCACAGGAGAAACAGTAGGTTCAAGAGAGGCATTCTGACCCTCCTTTTTCTTCCTGAAAGCAGGAGATACAATTCCGACGTGAAAGGTGTCCTCCCTGTAAGAAGGAAGACATTCTTATCACCAGAGATGAGGTGATAAGCCCAGAACTCCGAACAAACCTCATTAAACTGATCCTTATCTTCATAGTCACTTCTCCACAATTTAGTACTCCTAACCCAAACCCCTCTGTCTTTTCAGTTTTTCACAAACTTATTATTTGCCTAAAAGGCATAAAAAGTTCCTGGTCTGGTCACTTCTTGAGGTCTTCATCCTCCTGTGAAGACCCACACACGTACAGGTAAATATTTTTTTTAACCTGGATGCTTTTATCCTCTTAATCTGTCTTATGTCAATTTAATTATTAGGCTGAGCCAGGGACCCCAAGAGGGCAGAGAATTTTTCTTTGCCTACAAACTTCATAATGGAATTCAACTTTAAAGAAAAAGTACAATTTAGATTTTAAGAAAGAAGAAATCAGGTTGTTACAAAACTCAAGGGGTTCCATATTTAGGGTACTCTAGACAAAAAGGTAAGATAGTTTTATTTCTTTGAAGCAAGTACAGGAGACAAATAATTCATATCCAAAGCTCTATCTTCCCAAAGGGAGGCTTAGCCATTGCTTATAAAAATATTTGGTCAATTATACATTGATCAGTTGGCTACACTTATGGTTCTTGTCAATCTCATCACTTTTCATAGCTGGTCTGCAAAATACTGTGCTACATTTTAACACTTAGCAAAAACACTATTTAGAAAGAGTGGCCCAGACTTCAATACCCTTGTCCTATCCTAACAAGGCCAGGTAGGTACAATGATGACCGGTCAGGAAGGGGAAAAGCACATAGTAGGTTTGCAGGGGTGTCAAACACATTTTCACTGGTGGCCACGTCAGCCTCATTGTTGCCTTTAAAGGGCCAAATGTAATTTTAGGACTATATATGTAACTACTCCTTAACTAGGGACAAGGAGCTCAGCGCTGCCGCCAGGTAGAACCAAGGTGCTGGGCTGGATAAAACAAGGTGGAGGGCCAGGCTTCTGTTTGCCACCTCGGGTTTAGAGGACAGTGAAGAAAGTACTGTGGTCAGAGCATAGTTTTTCTATAAAAAACAAACTTGAAAAGGCAGAGTATAAGGAGATTTTGAAGAATTCAGATTAAAAAATGTGAACTTCAGTCAGTAGGAAAGAGTACTTCTGAAAATTTTTTACATAGAAACATAAACACATTCCCTGAAAGTATACACTATTAGACAAGTTGAGAAAATTACTTAATACATTGTGTATGACAAAGTTAAAATTTAAAAAACAGTAAACTCATTTACTTTACACACAGACAGTACCTAGAAAACATAAAGAATTCTGACAATTTATTAGTCTTTCTGTGACAATTTCATTCTTCTAAGCTTCTTGAATTAGAACTTCCCATGACAAAATACTGACATTTGACTACTAAAGATTTTAATCACACAACAATTCATTCTTGATTTTTCTTCTGCTTGTCTTGACCAACTTGAATATTTCATTACTTTAGCATCAGCATATGGGGGGAAAAGGGTATGGGGACTAAAATCTACAGATTTGTGCAATACAGTAAGGGCAAGATATAAAAAACATTAAATTTCAAGTTTCAATTCCCATTACTAATAGCTTGATTTCAAATAAGTCATTTATTGTCAGTTTCTCAAATGTCCTCACATACTTTCCTACATACTTAAAAGCTTACTGCATTCAAAAGCATGAAAAATGTGCTGAAAACTATTTGCCGTGTGAATTGTATCATTAAGGGTTCAATAAATAAAGAGTGAAGTTACTGGCAAACCCAAGGCTTAAACACCACCTGTGGACAATCAGTGTTCCAATTCCCCAATGTTGTATGTACCTAAATTGGTATTACTCCACTATTTTAGAAAATTTCTGAACCAGGCTGCATACTTCATCTGGTTATAGAAGAAAATACTGAAAGGAAAGGGAATACCTAACATACTCTGTCCTAAACAACCAAAGGGTAACTCAACTCCGGCTGCAACTCTCTGGAGAATGCTGTGTGACACTAAAATTGAAAACATTCTAATAATACTAAACAAAATGACTTTGAAATAAAACCTCAATACAAAAAGTGACTATTTAACCACGTACAGGCTAACCCCAGGAATTAAGAGAATTCTGAATCCAGATAATTTTAGGATACATTTAAATATATTCTAATTGAATATTGGGCTTGTTGACATAGATGTTGCTTGGTAACAGAAGCAATGCTTTAACTCCTCAGTTTTAGATCTACTCAAGGATTTTGTGCTCACAGTCTGAACACATTACAAACTATATCCTACTAAAGAGATTATGAACAAGTTTCTTGTTATCCTAGGCTTTTTTTTAAGTTTTAATATTTATTTGATTTTTTTTTAAAAAGGTGGATCAACAGTTACCAAAATAGTAATGTTTTTACTGGGTTAAATACTTTAATTTCTGTGTTTTTTTTTTAATTTACAAAGCATATGACTTAAGTTTAATTTTTCTTTTTTCTAGCTTTTAAAAAAATTTATTTACTTATTTTTCAAGTACAGTTTTCTGTCTATTTCTCCCATCCCAGCCCACCCCACCCCGTGCTCCCCACCTCCCTCCCATTTCCACCCCCCTTAGTTCTTGTCCTTGTGTCCTTCATACTTGTTCCTCCAAATCCCTCCCCTTTTTTCCCCTTAAATTCCATTCCCTCTCCCCTCTGGTCACTGTCCCCTTGTTCTCTATTTCAGTGTCTTTGTTTTTTATTCTGCTTGCTTGTTTGTTTTGTTGTTTAGCTTTCTGTTAAAGGTGAGATCATATGGTATTTGTCTTTCAACACCTGGCCTATTTCACTCAGCATAATGCTTTCCAGTTCTATCCATGTTGTTGCAAAGGGTAGTAGCTCCTTCTTTCTCTCTGCTGCATAGAATTCCATTGTGTATATGTACCACAATTTTTGATCCATTCATTTACTGACAGGCACCTAGGTTGCTTCCAACTCTTGGCTATTGTAAATTGTGCTGCTATGAACATTGTGGTGCATAGGTTCTTTGTTGGTGGGATTGTAGGCTGGTGCAACCATTATGGAAAACAGTATGGAATTTTCTCAGAAAAATAAAAGTCGACCTGCCTTTTGACCCAGCAATTCCACTGCTAGGATTATATCCTAAGAATCCTAAAACATCAATATCCTAGGCTTTTTTGAGATCTTACTGAAATAGCTTCATCATTACAACTAATGTGACCAGAGGCTTTTAAAATACTTAGCAGTGGGCATTTTTCAGAGCTAAGTGTCCATTTATTACGGTCAAAAGCAGGACACTAAGGATTTATCAGTGTCCGGTTAGGTCCAGCATTCACTTACATATTCTAGACACTATCTCTGTAATAGCAGCCAAGATCACAGTTAAAATTGTCTTTGGCGTCAAGGAAAATGTAGCATAATATTTTTATGACAAATTAAACTGGAGGTACCACAGGTTAGCCAGTAAATGACTACAAGCACCACACTGAAGTCGATGTGGCTCAGGTGATTGGACATGGACCCCCAAACCAAAAGGTCCCAGTTCCATTATTGGTCAGGGCACCTGGCTGGGTTGGGGGTCCCGGCTCCAGTTGCAAGAGGCAACAACGTCTGATGGATGCTTCTCACTCACACTGATGTTTCTCTCTTACTCTTTCTCCCTCCCTTCCCCTCTCTCTACAATCTATAAAAGGGAAAATTTTTTTTTTAAGATTCACGTTCATTGCATTGGCTACAAACCAGATCTCACAGCCATATCACATCTCAGTTTTCTACCACCTGCTCCAATTACAAGAAAAATATAATTTAAGGGCAAGTTTTGAACAAGAAAAATGAATGAGCATTCCAAAATATGGACAAGATAGCGTCTCCATAAAAGAGGGTACGTACCAGACTCACACAGGGCCTTGCAGCATGTGGACATAAAACTTAACAATGACCAGTGTTCTTTCCACGATCGCCACGGAGGGACACCTCCAGAGCTCCAACCACCAGCACCCACTCAACTCTTCTCGCCTGGGCATTGGGACGAAGGGATCCGGTCTACACGCGGGGTGCTTGCCCTGCCCAGCACGTCTGGCGAGGTCCTGGAGGCCACGGGCGGCGCAAGCTGAAGTGACAGAGCGGGAAGGCTGCCAAGCACGCCCCTCGGACTCCTGACCCCAGGGAAATCGAAGGAATCCCCGGGAGAGCTCTCAAGGCGGAGAGGCGGCAAAGAAAAGCACCGCTCCTCGGCGCACAGGCCTTCTCAGGGGTGTAGAGCCAGCCCTGCACGACGTCCGGCCGAGGTGCCTCCCTCAGAACTCATTCCTCGGCCGGCCGCCCCACCAAGACCAAAGAGGTGGCCCGGGTCGGGAAATCTAAGGACGCGCGAAGCAGGAAGTCCCGCCCTCAATGACGTCACCGACTCCGCGACCTGGTGGCCGTTAGAGGAGGAGCCAGAGCATTAAGGCAGTGAGTTAGGCTACCCACCAGCAACCAGGGCCTCGGCAGCGCTCCGAGGGGGCAACTAGGCCACGCAGAGATACGCTAAGCCCTAGGGAACGGAAAATCAGCGACGGGCCACTCGCTTCACGGAGCCAGAATGAGGCGCGTGGTTGAGCGGGAAGCCCATCCGCCTCTCCTCTTCCCACTGGTTTCTCTCCCCTTTTCGCCCTTCTCCTTCCCTCTGTCTGCTCTTACCACACTTTGAGGGCTCCGAGTAGTGTTACCACCACCCTCGCCTACCTTCGTGCCCAACGGTGCAGATTTACTGGATCCCGATGTCTGCCCGGCAGTGGGGAGTCGGCTCAGCTTGCCTTCAGGAAGCCTAGAACTAGCTCGGCCAGGACTAGGCCCCGCCCCGCGCCCCCGCGCTCACTTCTGCATAGTTTAACCTCCAATTCAGTACCCCACGTGAACTGTCTTCAGGTTGTAACTAGACTTGGAAGAAAAGGAACTTGCTTTTGAGAACGTCAGTTACAGGCCAGCGGCTGAAATAGGTAGGGATTTCAGCCTTTCAGAATAGATGATGGAAGAAATAGGTACCGCCCCGCTCCACCTGTTTTGTTCAGTGCCTGGGTTTGGGTTTTGACTCACTACATTGGGAAACAACTTAATTTTTACCCCCACGGTTAACATTTTGGGGGCTCTCGTTATGAATAGAAAGGCAACTGAAATAGGTTTGTGTAAAGGCTTTAAAAATAAAAGGCAACCGAAATGTGACCATTTTGTTGAAATGAGCAAAGAGGAGTCATTAGATATCACAGGGAATTGAGTAATGGGTTGTTAGTGGATGGATCACATAGATAATGGGAGATACATCAGTGAACAGAAGAATCCAGAAATAAACTGCTGTGTATGTATAGTAACAGCTCACATTTACTGAGCACTTGTCAAGTAGTGGAGCACTTTTTCGGGTTATCTTATTTAACCCTCTAATTATCTCAATTTTACAGCATTACCCAGAAACATTACCAGTAAGTGTGGAAACCAGGCAGTCTAACTCAGAAGTCTCAGAGGTAATTAGTAAATTACACATTACAAATCATAGGTCAGTGGGAAAAAGATAATCTGAAAATGACTAACAGTCGGTGACAGGCTTTACATATAGTTTCTCAAATAAGTACCAGATGGATCAAGAATGTAAAGAGTGAAACAAAAATATTTTTAAAAATTGAGGTGATTATCTTTATAATCTTGAGTGGAGAGAGGCTTTTTCTAAGTATGAAACAAAACAAACCATAAAGGGAAAAATACATAAAAATTAACCTAATAAAGTTGTAATCTTCTATCTAAATGAACCAGTGGAAAATAAATGCATATCATATGGAAACAGAAGGAAAAATATTCCTAATATACAAAGATGTCATAAAATATCAATTTTAAAACAACATTAAAATAGGCAATTGGCAAAGGATATCAAAAGGACATTCCTAAAGCAAGAAAACATCTAGTTAGCAAATAAATAGATGGTCATCTTCCAAACAGATCCTTTTTTGTCTGTCTGTAGACAGGGATATGCTAATAACAATTCCTGTTGTGCACTACTGGTGTGAAGTTGAAATTGGTACAACCTTATTTACCAAAATTTAACATAAGCACTAACTTCTGCCCCAGTAATCTCAGATCATAGTCATTTGCTCTAAGGAAAAGAGCAAACACTAAACAGATTCACAAACATGTTCCTCACCACCTTTTTTATGACAGGTACTTCTAGAAACAACGTAAGTGCCATAACTAAGACATTAAATTTTGGTGCATGTGTACAATGGAATACTGCTGAGCCATTAGAAACAATGATATAAATCTCTTTCTACATGAAAATGTGACCATAGCACATATGTTGGTTATTTTTCCCAGAAAAAAAGGAATAAAGGTCAGTATGAATAGTGTAATACCAACATAATTGTGTGTATGTGTGAATGGAAGTGCACAAAATGATCTGGATGTCTGTTGGCCAAATGCAAGTGAGTTTTCACCTTTTGAACCTTTCTATCTTGTTTGAATTTTAAATAATGAATATTTCATTTTTACAAAAACAAAGTTGTGGGGGGTTTTTGTTCGTTTGACTCCTTACCCGAGGATATGTTCATTGATTTTAGAGAGAGGGGAAGGGAGAGAAAGAAACATCGATGTGAGAGAGAAACGTTGATCAGTTGCTTCCCATACACACCCCAAATGGGATCAAACCCACAACGGAGGTATATGCCCTGACCAGGTACTCAACCCACAACCTTTTGATATGTGAGACAGTGCTCCAGTGAACTGAGCCATCTGGCCAGGGCCTTGTGTTTTGTTTTTTAATTAAAGATGTGCCTGTGAAAGGGGTTAAGTTGACTACAGCCAGATAACCAATGTGAAGTAATTATATCTGAGATCTAAGTCCCAGCTTTTTAAGTGTCCATAAGTTTGATTATATTAATTTACATCCAACTTGAATGATCTAACTCATCACTTGAACATCATAATTCTGATTCCCCACATCGGGCTGTCGGGCTATGTATCCTTCCTATGTGTTCTCTATGTGCCTCTCGTGATAATTGTCACACTGAACTATAATTCCATTTTTCTGTCACTATGTAAAGGGGTGCAGCCAGGCCCCCCTCCCAAGTCTGGCTGAGGGATGGGAGACATGTAGCAGGGTCTTTGAGAGTTGTTTTGCGTATCACTAATGGCAGACTAGTCTTCCGGCCTGAGTGGAGCCAGAAAGGTATGCATGACTTAAACCCCTGATGCAGCTGGGAGGCAGCTCCCCTGGTTACCATGTCTTTGGGAGAATTTAGAGATAGTTTGCTCCACACCACAGAGCCATGCCTGCCCGGACTAACTATGGCAGCCCAGAAAGGCTAAAAATACGAGAGTGCTGATTGTGAGAGGAGTCAGAAATGCAGTTATGGTGGAGGTCCCAGACTGGGATTTAAACTAAAAGCAGGCTACCACAAGGGATGAGAGGACAATGTAAGACCCTACAGAAAGGAAAGGGGTGAAAGGACTCTCACTGGTGGGCCACGAGGAGGTGCCACATGGTTTTGGATTAAGAACTGGATATTACAGAGATGCAGCTGTTGTTGCTGGGAACTGGCAACAGTCTCTAGCTGAGCTACAGACTTCTATCTCTTTTTCCTGAGATACGGACCCCTGACTGGCCTGGTTGGGCAAAGGGGGTGTGTTACAGCCTGTCAAGGCCAGACAGGTTCATGGTATTCAAGCAGACAGAAGAATATTCAAAGACACTTTGGGATGTCTGACATGCCTTTATTCCATGGTGGGCAGTCCATGCATGTTGCAAACTTTGTGTCCCCCTGCATGTTTCTGTATGGCACCCAGCAGGGATTTCCTAGCCCCTTAAATACTGGATACAAACCAAACTGGCAAGATGCCTACAGATGTTATGCAACTGAGCTTCATATTATGCATATGAACCCACTCAAGGCTATGAGAACACTACTTATCAAGCCCATTCTCAAAGTTATAGGAAACTGCCTCCCTTAATTACCCAGAAACCTGGGTGAGAAAGCAAGACTGCTTCTGTTTACCCTACAGGTGGGGAAGGCAGGACTGTATATGTGTTTGTGGATGTTTTAAAGGGCTTTGAGGTTAACAGCAACATTCTGCCATTACTCTAAACCTGTATAACTTTTGAATAAATAGTTCCTTTCCTTTTCACCAAATTCTGGCATTGAGAGCCACCGTTCCTACCTGGTAACAGACAAGATGAACCTAGAACAGAAAGACACCAGAGGAGGAGGCTTGTTTCAGTATCTGGGCTGCCCCCTTACACAGGTTCATTCTGTAACAACTAGACTGTTTGCTCCTACCATATATATGTATGCACATACACACACATATTTTTCTGCTATGTAGTATGTATTTCTTTTCCCCTGATACATTATTTGTCTTTTACTTCATTTTTGTGTGCAAAAATTTTAATTTTAATGTAGCCAAAATGCTAATAGAATATACAAATATTAAAGAGATAGTTTCAACAACTTTATGTCAATAAATTCAACAGCATACGTGAAATGGAAACATTTCTGAAAAATCTTTTAAAAACTTACACAACAAGAAAAAATCCAAATGACCCAATATCAAAGAAATTGAATTTGTAATCAAAAACCTCCCCACAAATAAAACAAGGCCCAGACGGCTTTGCCAGTACATTTTACAGACACTGAAAGAACATAAAATACCAATTCTACACTATTTCAGAAAAAAAGAGCAGGAAGGAATCCTTCCAACCATAGAAGGCCAACATATTCTATCTATATAACTCTCATAAATATATCAAGAGATTTTAAAATTCTTAAAACATTGGCAAATTGAACCTTGCAAAAGAGAGGATAAGGTACCATAGCAAAGCAAAGTGCAGTTTAACATTGAAAAGTTAGTGTAATTCACCACAATTGACAGAATGAAAGGGGGGAAAATGATGGTCTCAATAGATGCAGAAAAATCATTTGACAATTCAAAACCCATTCATGTTAAAAACTTTCAACAAGCTAGAAATGGAAGGGAACTTTCTCAATATAACAAAAATCTTTATAAAAGTAATGGTGGCCCTAGCCAGTGGTTCAGTTGGTTGGAGTATCCTGTGCACCAAGAAGTTGCTGGTTCAATTCCCCAGTCAGGGCATATACGGGAAGCAGCCAATCTATATTTCTCTCTTCCTCTCTCCCTTCTTCTCTAAAATCAATAAACATACACTTTGGTGAGGATTAAGGAAAAAATGAAAGGAAGAAAGTGAAAATATACCTTCAGAATAGGGGAAAATATTTGAAATTTAATAAAGGACTTGTAGTAAAGATATATAAAATTTCTGATGATTCAACAAAAAAACGACAACCTAGTTTAAAAAGGGAC